ATGTCGAGGGTGACCCACCAGACGAATACATTTCCGTTTTCTCCATTCTATAACAACAATATATTTGTATGGGTTTTAATACAATATTAATTTCATATTTTTCGTTACCTATACCGCTGTGTAAAATTTACCACGTTCACTTGAACGTTCCTCGCGCTGTAGTTGTGTCCTAACTTGCAGAGTTCACTTGCCATTTCGGCATAAATGTGTTTATTTTTCGGCGCACCGCGGAGATCGGCAGCGTGATCTGCCCACAAATCGAGAACGGCCACTTCTCCGTCCTCAGACCAGGGTATCCTATTACTTTTTATTTATTAAACAAGAATTGAACATTACTATTATATATATTTACTATCCGTATTCAGTTCCATTTCATTGTTTTCGCTTGAGTCCATTGTATAAATCTACATATATAGGCTTACACAATGTTTACTACTGTTGTTGATGAAAATTAAAACGTACGTTATCAAATACTTGTATACTCGGAATAACTTCACATAATTTCGGTTGAAAATTGTTCAACTATTATTATTCAGCGTAATTTCAATCGAACTCAATTATGCAACGGTGCTGCAATGGTTGGTAATTAAAAATACTGCAGATAACATTCTTGTAGCAACCACTCTCACTGGAAAATATAATAGAGAAATTATCTTCTTGTTGTCCAATGATACTGTCAGATGTACGATACAGAAGAGCTGAATTAAATTGAATTTGAAAATGTTTATAATTAAAAACTATAAACATTAGCCTTTTTCATAATATCAAATGTTATCAACTAACAACTTTGAAAATGGCTCATTTGTTACAAACTTGAATATAAAATTAATAGAATAAAAAAATCAACAGAATATATTTTATGTTTATTTGTGTTTTTGTGTTTAATAATAAGTCGAAAAAATTGATCAATGATTTTCAAATTTGTCTAAATTAATGTCTACCTTAGCCACAGCAACGCGTGGGCGGGGACCTCTTGTACATATATAAAAATGCCTATATTTAAATCCCAAATTCAAATTTTACTTTAAAAAAAATGTAATTCTAATTTTAGAGTCTATTTGTTCTAGCCTATCTGTTTAAATCATTTTTTCTTTTTATTTTGTATTGTAAACCACTAAAAAAGAAAGATAAATCCCAACACGTGTGAAAAACACAAACTTTTATTTTTAAAATTAGGAACAATAATTTCTTTATTGAAAAATTTAGTTAAAAAATACATTCTTATTCTAATGAAACAGGCTTTAACTATTATGGAGTCACAACTTTCACAACACAACACAAAAAGGGCATAATATCTTTCATTAAAAAGAATATCTCTTATTCCTATCTTATGGCAAATACTGTCGAATTCTTCTAAGCACTTTGTTTCTAAGGATTTTACAAATGCAACAAATTCTTTATGCGGATTCACTAAATTACATTTGACTGTTTGATATTGATAAAGAAGATTAATTCGTTTGAAGGAATTTCACCTCCTAAATAATGTACTTGCAGGGAGTGTGTGCGTATTCAAATTTTGAAATAAAAACTTAAATAAAGGCAGCTAACAGTTTCCTTTTGTTACTATGTTTACATAACGTAAGCCACATGATTTCCTAAATAAACTAGAGAACGTATTGGGCGTTACTGCTTCTAATCTGGCAAAAAAAATGTTCCAAACTGTCCTGATATACATAGTCGACTCGTCTTCAAGTATGGAAATCATGAGTATGACAAACATCGCCACCACCGTATTAAAATGTTTATAGGTATTAAGTACCCACCCCTTTAGAAAACTAAAATTATTAGTTATGTTGTTTTCTAACTCATCTACGTTCCGAATAATTTTTAAAATTTTTTCGGCCTCATCTAAAAATTCGAACTGCTCAGGGGAACCTACAAGCACTTTTTAGAGACCATATTACGCAATACCTGAGATACAAATTTAACCTTCATTTTTTGGAAGCTATTTGGATGTATATGATCATCGGTTAATTTATGCGCACACCAATAACTCGACTGGTAACTCAATATAGCTTCTTTAATATCTTACTGCTGGTGGAGGACAGAAAATATTTGTATTTGAGTGAGAATATATACATTCCGATTTTATTATGGATTTTCTTGTCCTTATATACAAGTTTAATTCAACTTTAAGGGGGTCATCCCGTGTGACGGTTTCAAAAAATCGTTTTTTTTTTTGCATACATAAGTTACAGGAGTAAGAAATGTGGTCTTTAGAGCGTGTGGCCTACACACGTGAATCTTTAAACGTGTTTTTCTCGAAACTACATTTTTCAAACTAACGTCCACGATTTCTCATAAACGGTTCCATCAATTGCTTGAAAATTTGAACAGTAGTTTCGTCATACATGTGGCTATCTCCCAAACTAGAATTTCTGAATTTTGAAAAGTTTTTTTTTTCATAAATAAGTAGTCGCAAAAAACATAAAATTTTGGGAATTATTGTTTGAAAGCATTTAAAAATTTAATTTTCAAGATTTGTAAAAGATTCTAGTCCCGGCGATAGATATTTACCTACAGGTTAACCTGAAATTTGTTTTTTTGATTTTAGGTTAGTCAATCTGCTGAAATCATGGACGTCGTTTGTCTACCTTGTTTCATAGGTACCATTGGTAAAGCTGGACTGCTCTAATATCAATAATCGTCAGCTGATGCATGGTTGAATTTTCTGATTCCTAATTTAAACTTTTTTTAGAAGTTTAAACAAACATTTTGATCCGAAATAATTCTAATTATAATAGTAGTAATAATAATTATTGAGAGGATTACAGTTTTAACTACATATTTAAAACATATGTATACAAATATATTTCATAAAATAGGATTATTAATATCTGAAAATAAAGACTAATTAAATAAAAATGGTAATAATATATGATCATTTAATTAATTGAAAATGATAATAATATCTAAAAGAAAATATAATAAACTCTGCAAAATAAGATTAAATAAATAAAAATAATAAAGTAAAAGTATCTGAAAGAAAAACTTAATAATATCTGAAAAAAAAAATTTATTAAATAAAAATATTAATAATATCTGAAAAAAGATTAACAAAATAAATATAATAATAATATCTGAAGAAAAAGGTTAATTATTAAGTAAATACTTGTATAATAATAATATTTGAAAGAAAATATTAATATTATACAGTTGCTGTGTAATTGCTAGCGGAATGTGTGAGTGCGTTAGCGTGTCTTGCGTGATTAATAGTTTTTGCGCCACCACTGGGCGCTATTTCCGAATAAGTTTCATTGTCATGTTATCAATCATCTCTCCAGTCGTCATATTCATCAGCAGGTTGATCATTTGTTGATTTGTTTGAGTTTGACTTCGTCTTCGTATTTTATCTGTGCAGATATTTAAATCATTTTTCATTTAAATAATTATCCAAAAAGAACTTACCTGTTGAAACCTCCGTCTTGCTGGAAAATTAGCATGGGTTACCTATGTTAAGGTAACCAAACATGCTCAAATTTCGGCTGATGACATTTTCTAATCAAACAAAAGGTTTTAGAGTAAGATAAAGAAATATTTCACTTTCAAATTGTTCAAGCCTTTTAAATTAAAGTTCTTCTAACTATATGTTAGTGGGTGCACGTTTTTTTTTTTTGGTAGTAATGACGTCCTCCATCGAGACTTTTAATGCTCATTGTAAAAGAAACTATAGAAGAATTTAATACACATTACCATTATAACGTACTTGCAATCCAACTGCTGGATAATAGCGAACAATGTAGAAGACTGAAAAGATATCATCCGTTAGATCTCCCCTTTCGATTCAATAGATTTCACCTTCATTTTTGTAAAAAAAAATTTCAACATCTTTCTTTTTGTCAGCAAATTTAGCTATTGTCATTTTTTGATAAATAATACCGATTTTACCCCAAGCTGAATATAATACAAAACAAAAGCTTCCAATTTTGTTCATAAATGAAACAGAAGCAGAAGAGGTCGACAGCTTCCATTTATCAGAGGACTGACACATATGTGTTATTAAGGTTTCCACCATTAAACTACCGCCGAGGTAGATTTTATTTATTATTAAGATAATTATAAATAATTATATTACAGTTTAAAAGCCTAGCAACGAAGACTATCGCCTGCGAATAATATCTATTCGATAATTAACTAGGTAAAAAGGATAAAGATCTAAAAGGAAGTCCTGGTTACAAGTTCTCTGTCAGTATGATAAATATAACTTAATATGATGTAAATAATGTTTATACCAGTGATACTGGTCTGTATATAAACTTATGCAACTCTTTAAATTATTTAAAGAAAATCTGTTAGCAGATTGATGGTGTTTGTTCTGAATATGCTGTTCCTTGCGTTTGAGTACTTTCTGCATGCATCAAGGATGTGATTGATTGTCAGAGAACAATTGCATGCTTTGCAAGATGGAGCACAGAACCACTTAGGAGATGTTGATGTTGATTGTTGTGTGTCGTAGACGTAACCTAGTGAATATTTTATTTGCTCTGTAGAAGATTCAATTGGAAAAGGGTGCGATGCCGTATTTGTTAATAACTTATAGTTACCAATTCCGCTGACTTTCTTTTGTATAGTTTTCGACAGATTTTCGAATGTCTGATCAAACATAGATGGCGACAGTTTCGCATTGGGGAATGGCAAGTTTGTTTGGTTGCTACATCAACATATTCATTACCAGAAATTCCACAGTGGCCAGGGTTCAAATTATTTTATTTTTTATTCTCAGCGTATCCTTTGGATCAAAGGTTTTTAGTCCTTCTCTGCCGATTTACTACCGAGCAAATAACAATATTCAGCCTTGGATGTGGCTGCATATTCTGTAGCGAGGCTTATAGCTAAGACTCGGCAGTAAATAGAACAAAGTGGAAAGAATAATTCAGTCCTAATTGTGTTACCATCTTCGGACACTATGGCAAATTGAAACAGTGTAACTGTATTTGGAGCCATCAGTAAAAATAAGTTTCCATCTGAGTTCTGTCGAATTACCTCTGATTTGTAAAAAGTAATACAAAACAAAAGCTTCCAATTTTGTTCATAAATGAAACAGAAGATACAATTTTTAATAAAAATTCCAATAAATAAAGTAAGTACATGTTCAACATAGAAATATAAAATATTGGCCTGTTATGATTAAACTATTCATAATTATATATTATTATGATGCCGATGTATGGCTTCAATTATATACCTATAACATCTAAGAAAGTTATATAATTTACTTACTTGTATTCAGTAAGCAGTCATTACCTCACACAAGGCCAAAGGATGATAGTTCACGTACAAGCAGTAGAACTTCAGCACAGCATTAGTTTCCTTCTCAACCGATTTACGCACAGCCTCTATGCGCAACACTTGATATATTTCAATTCGATACGCAGCAACCATAGCGAAATGCGTTGGATTGAAATCGGGCATCTCATAGTAGACGTTCCGCACATCCAATGTTACGTTCTCTGACGACACACCAGCAAAAGTTTTGAGTGTCATCTAAAATCACTTAAAAAATACACAAAATAAACGAATAGGCGTTACACAGCCATGCTTACCTGTGTAGGACGTTCACTTTGCGCGACTGTGAACATTCGTTTATTGATGTGAAAAATCTTTCGCACCCTAGAGAAGGTAAGATAATGTAAGTAATTTGTCTTTTCAACATTAAAACAGAAAATAAGGCCACCTACCTTGGACTCACCATTGAGAAAAATATCCCGCAACGCTTCACGATAGCGACACAATTGATTCTACGAGATTTCCAGCTCGCGCAGCGCAATGAGAGTTTTCCTCCGTCCTCTTCAATTATATTTAATAAATTCTTTGGAAACACCATAAACTTCAAGAACTTAACTTCTTTATAACGCTTTTTGAATCAATAAAGCAAAATAGAATAATATAAATTTTAACACGCATATTAAAAAAGTGCTTACCTCAAAATTTTTTTCCAAATAATGCCGGCCATTGTTAATTCGTTGCATTCATTCGCATTCTAAAATGATGCATGCTAAATGTTGCTACTCTTACAACACAATTTTCTATTTAAAAACAAAAAGTTAGCTTTGAATATGTAGTTGTGTAAGAGGTGAAATTTTACAAGTGTAGTAGTAAATTGGTAACCTCCGTCTTGTAGGGTAAATGTATGTACGAGTATGTACTTTACTACAGTAAGGGGAAGTACCGAAAGCCGGAGTGCGGAATTTTGATCCGCTAAACCTAACCTACTCCGAATTCATTTTCCACGGAGCATCTGTTGTAAGTATCTAGTTTTGTCATAATTTGAGCTGACGCTTCACCGACAGCTTTCCATTTATCAGAGGACTGACACATATGTGTTATTAAGGTTTCCACCATTAAACTACCGCCGAGTGTAGATTTTATTTATTTATTAAGATAATTATAAATAATTATATTACAGTTTAAAGCCACTAGCAACGAAGACTATCGGCCTGCGAATAATATCTATTCGATAATTAACTAGGTAAAAAAAAGGATAAAGATCTAAAAGGAAAGTCCTTGAGTTACAAGTTCTCTGTCAGTATGATAAATATAACTTAAATATGATGTAAATAATAATCCAGTCTGGTATATAAACTTATGCAACTCTTTTAAATTATTTAAAGAAAATTCTGTTAGCAGATTGATGGTGTTTTGTTCTGGAATATGCTGTTCCTTGCGTTTGAGTACTTTCTGCATGCATCAAGGATGTGATTGATTGTCAGAGGACACTTGCATGCTTTGCAAGATGGAGCAGCAGACCACTTAGGAGATGTTGATGTGATTGTTGTGTGTCGTAACTTAACCTAGTGAATATTTTTATTTGCTCTGTAGAAGATTCAATTGGAATAGAGGGTGCGATGCCGTATTTGTTAATAACTTATATGTTGACACATTTCCGCTGACTTTCTTTTATGTATGTTCGACAGATTTTCGAATGTCTGATCAAACATAGATGGCGACAGTTTGCTTGGGGAATGGCAAGTTGTTTGCTGCTACATCAACATATTCATTACCAGAAATTCCACAGTGGCCAGGGGTTCAAATTATTTATTTTTATTTCCACGTATCCTTTGGATCAAAGGTTTTTAGTCCTCTACTGCGATTTACTATCGAGCAAAATAACATATTAGCCTTTGATGTGGCTGCATATTCTGTAGCGAGCTTATAGCTAAGACTTCGGCAGTAAAAATAGAACAAAGTGGAAAGAATAATTCAGTCCTAATTGTGTTACCATCTTCGGACCTAGCAAATGAAACAGTGTAACTGTATTTGGAGCCATCAGTAAAATAAGTTTCCATCTGAGTTCTGTCGAATTACCTCTGATTTGTAAAAGTTTTTGTATATTAAACGTGTTTTGTTTGGATGAGAAAGTAGTGATTATAAATGATGATGTTGGTGAATGGTTTTAAGGAATTTCGACATCTTTGGATAGCAGAGCGATTCTACATATTGTTGATAGCCGCCTTAGATTCGTTTCCTGTTCAGGCCCTATTTATTCGTTGTTCAATATCGGGTTATTAGACACAAAAGCTTTGGAATAAGTCGACGGTACCATGGTGGTGCGATCTTTAAGTTCAGGAGTCCAGATTCAGCTTTTGATTGGTGTTGGAAAGCGCAAGACCGACTGCTGCTGTAAATTCCGAAATGTTTGCGAGGCTACTTTTGCCCCGTACCCGTATAATGGTAGACCATAGTCGATAACAGATAGAATTGATGGACTTAGTTAGATTAATTAAAGTAGTTTGATTACAATTACATGTTTAGAAGCAAATATTTTTATAATATCAACCTTTTGTGAGTTTCCCTTTAGAAATTTACAATGTTCCCTAAACCTAAGAGTTTTATCAAATATTATTCCTAGAATTTTAAATTAGAAACATTTTCTATATTTTCTTGAATAATTTCTCTTTACATATATTTAAAGTTTTACATTTTTCATAAGATATACTCGCTCCGGTGCTATAGCCCATTCTGAGATATCGAAAGATTTTCTTTATAAGTGCTGTTATTCTTTGTTTATTTTCAGAGTTCGAGGTTGCGAAGATATGGCATCGCAGCAAGCTTGAAATTGGGGCCAATCCGCTTTGTCTGTGTTAAACTTAGGGATTTTTCTTTATTAAGAAAGCTTTAATAGTGGTTATGATCGGAATGGTCACTTCCGTGAAGATATTTTAGGATATTCCATGAACATTTTGGTGCTATGTTAGGTAGCCATCAGTGAGGACTACCAATTTAAGAGCACGTCTTCTATATATTTCCTCTTGATTGTCTGTGTAGAACCAGAGAGGCTCCATGAGTTCAAATCACTAGTTAATATGATTGGTGTGAAACATATCTTATATATGTACGAATTTCGTTAGAGTTAAAACTTTGACTTGGAGTATATACATAGATATCAGGTATTTTAAAGCCTATATTATTTTCTATGGCAATTCTGGATATTTTAGTTTGTTGTAGGGAATGCCTTTTAATTAATACACTTATGCCTTGCTTATTTGTCGTATTTGCGTATGATTGTGAATATACTGTAGGCTTGGGGTGGAGGGGGTGCTGTTGAAGGGCAAACGAGTTTCCTGCAAGATACAATGCTAGGTATGGTCTATAAGTAGTTGTAACTCATGGAAATTGTTTCAATATCCATTAAGATTCATTGCAAAAAGTAGTAATTTGACTATGAATAGGTCTTAAAAAGGCTGGAGGTGCATGTATATTATAGCAAGATTTTCCTATTCCTCTCGTTAGTGTTGTGTTGTAGTTTAGAGATCAAGAGGGTATTATTTTAGAGCTGAGTCTTGTGTTGCCATTGTGTGGGAAAGAGCTAATATTGAAGCACGATCAGTGAGTGTGTTTATTGGATGGGTGGGTGTAATTTGAGCAGGTTTGTGAGTGAAAATCGAGTTTTAAGAGTTACTTTGGAATTTTCTGGAATAAAGGTGTATTTGTGTTGGTGTTAGCGATTTTATTTATTTCTAAACATTGAGTTTTGATGTTCTATATTGAATTATTAGTTTAGAGTTTGTTCAATTGAGTAGAATTATTAGATTCAGAGTTTGTTTGTGTGTTTAAAGGACGGTTTGGACTGTACCTGCAATTTATGTATTATTTGAGTAATTATTAATTTTTAATGTTTGAGAAGAAGTGGACTTATCATTTACTGATTAAGTTGTAGTACTGGATTCGAGCGCGTTTCCGTTATGTTTATGTTTCGAGAAACTTGGAAGAGAATGTTTGATAATTTTCTGAGAAAGAAGATTGAGTTTCTATGAATCTTAATTTGCTTCTCGCTATCCGCATTTTCCTTGTTACTTGATTTTGAGTATTTCTTTGTCTGAAAGAAATTTGGGACACTTGTTGGATGTAGAGGGTGATCGACAGAGCAGTTAGCGCAGAATATACGTCTACATTTCGTGGGGAGGTGAGGTGGTAGGTAAATATTTCACATGCTGGCGATAGCTTGCATGATTTATTGTGGGACCTAGCAACTGGCAATTTTGCGCCGCATGGGGCTTGGTAAATATTGTCTTACTTTACATTCCGCCATGCGATGTCAATTTTACTGGAGGTGGTACAAATCGAAGTCAGCAGATCTACTCCAGTCGGGTAAAGAATCAATATTAATTTTTGAAATTTGTAAGCGATTGGCACATTATTCAGGAAGGTGCACATATTGTTCCTTGTTGTTGTTTAGATTCTCGTGGTATTTGCCCTTGACGGCACAAATACCTGGAGATTTTTAAGTCGAGAAATCTTCAGCTATGATTCTATTTTTGCGATGTAAGAGAGTTTCCAACACGAGTTCTGAAACACTTTCTATTTCTTTGCTACTGCACAAATTGATTTGTGTTACTGCTAAGCATGAATACTGCGATAAAGGTTTATCCTTATTGGCAGATTCTAAGACAATAAATTTAGGATCGCTTTTTAACGGTTGGGGTTCGAGAAATATAAGGTCCGTGTTAATGAATGTTTTTTTTTGTTGTTTAGCTTTCTTTTTAATACCGGCACTGTCGGAAAGCAAAGCAAACCGATTTGCCGCCACAAGGATGCCCTGGGGCCTATTTTAGGCAAACACTTCACAGATACTTCTTAATTAAGATTTTCTTTAAAACAAATTGCGGAAATTACATTTTTACCACAATGAGTATTAACTCAAAACTTGAACTAGCACGAAATGCACCCGGTAGAGAAAGAGAACTGTTCACTATGAGTTGCTGTAGATTTTAACTTTTCTTATATTTAAAAACATGAGCACTGAAAATATATTGGTTAGAGCTTTGTACCCTCTCTACACGTCGGACAGTGCAGATTAGACATGGTTGATTAGAACAGATACTTTTGAATTATCCATGCCCTCTAAGTATTTGGATTAGGCTAAGGTGACCATATTTTTCCGGTAAACCCAGGACGTTTTTTTAGTCATGATTTTCTCATATTATAATTCATTTAAAATCGCGACATATAATAGGTGAGGCACCAACCACAATTTTTATTAAAAATGATATAAAGAGAAGCAAAGTAATATTAAAAACAAGAAAACGTTAATTTCGGTTGCACCGAAGCTATAATACCGTTATACATATACAAAGGTTCTTGAATACGCGCTATAGTGATCCTTTCTGAACAATTCTTCGGAGATTCCATTATTGCCTTAGATAATGATCCGTTATAAATTTTCGTGAAAAAATCTCTTCAAATGAAAATGATTCGATCGTTCAGTTTGTATGGCAGCTATAT